GTTGCCTTCAAAAATAGCTATGTGGGTAGCAGCAGTGTCCCACAAATAGTTGCAGATTGAGTGACCAAATTATAATTATTCTTTTTATTTATTTATTTATAAAATGAATGAAAAGCGATCCGCCAATCAACTAACAACCGGGTTCCTACTTACTGTTAGGTAAACAGAGTAGTGTGGAGGAAGGAAACTTGCCTAAGGTTTCGCCCTGCCTGTCACTTGCGAGGCGAGTGCTCTAAACAATATGCTAAGGCACTCCTAGTCTTCCTTTCCCAAAGCAGTCATTGCTGACCACATAATAGTCATTCAAAGTTTGGATATTGCCAGCCGTAAAGTTTTAAAATTGTCCTTTACGCCTCTTTAATTGTTGCCTCAAGATTCATTTAGTCATTTCTTCTTAAGGATCTCACAGAATGAAGACAAACGCTAGCTACATATACACTAATGAGCAAAGACCTTTTAAGGGTGACGGTGTCTCTGTTAATTAATGAGAGCCTGATTGTGGGGTGTGGAGTTGACCCTATCGTCTGTGTTCCTAATTATCACGCAGTTTTTATTCTGAAGAGACGCCTTGCTGAGAAGGGAAAAAACAGGGAGACAGGGAGATTGATGGCGTATGTTAAAAATTAGAGTCGATGTGTTGTATGTTTTCAATAGCGGCAATAACTCAGAAGAAAAAGCCTTGTTTCTACAATATTTCCACCATAATCTGGGGAAACAGTGGCAGATCATGGATCATTAAGGCCATTATGTAGACGTCAAACTGTTTCCTGTTTCTGACTCTCTCATTATATCTTGAGCGAGGTCTTAAAACTAGTTCCACAATGGATGGGAAAGGAAGATTCAGTCAGCACCGATCATCACCTTGTCTGTCTGATACACTCGATCTTGTTCTCTTGATTTGCTTTGATCAAGAGGAAATATTAGATTGTAAGCAGGTGACATTCATTCAATAATAATCATCATTAATAATAATAATAATCCTTCCTTTTGATATAGTGCCTTATCATGCCATTTAGATGCCTCAAAGCTCTTCACGGGATATATTATAAAGTGGTTTGACTCTGGGTGAAATACGGCAGCCAATTGCGCACAGCAATGTCCCACAAGCAGCCATGAAGTGAGTGCCCAATTTTATTTGGGGGATTGTTAGCCAGGACACCAGGAGAGAGAGAGAGTTTTCTAATAGATCTGTAACATCCACCTGAAAAGGTACAGCTAGGGAGCTTGGTTTAACATCACAAAGTCATCCTAGACTACAGGAGTTCCAAGTCCTGACGTGGGGCTTGAACCCACTACCTTCTGGCTCAGAGATGAGAGTGCCACCCACTGAGCCAGGCTGAGACTCGATACCCATAAGCAGGCTAGGATGCTTTGTGGTTGACTGACAGAAGGTAGAGAGTTTAATGGGTAACAGAAGAACTTGTCCCCCCAGAAACAAGACTCTGGAGAGTAGATGCAAATTCGGGAGATGTCCATTTGATTTTATCGAAAGCTATTTAATGCAGGATGATAATTGGAAAGTAGGTGAACAGTGAATCAATGCCTGATTAACGACCTCTCTGTGGACCACTTCCGTGATCATCAACATAGCGATGGCATTTATCTTCATTCTGTGATCTGTCGCTGGTGGTTATTTTAAAACTCCTTCATAACGGGATGGTAACCCAACCATTATTTTCCTGCACATTTCCGGCCCACCCGCCTCACCATTGTCGGGAGAGCCTTCAGCCACTCTGCCTCCAACCTCTGGAATTCCACCCCCCAATCACTTTGTCTCGCCTCCAGCTTAGTCTCCTTCAAGTCTCAGCTCAAAAAAAAGGTCATTCCCCCTTCCCTTCCCCTCCCTTCCCCCCCCGACCCCAGCTTGGGTCTGAAGTGCTGTACACTTTCCAGTGCCTTAGGATGTCCTCCCGACGTAAAAGGCGCTATACAAATGTAATCTTGTTGTTTGTTGTTAAAATCCTCAGGCAACTGAGAAGCAGATCAAGCCTTTTGGGTATTGAGTTGAGCAAATCAACGTATCAGATTTTCATTAATTAACATAACAGCATAGATTCACGAGGTTAGTTCCTGGGATGAGGGGACTGACCTATGAGGATAGGCTGAATAAACTAGGGCTGTATTCTCTAGAGTACAGAAGAATTAGGGGGGATCTTATTGAAACGTATAAGATTCTTAAAGTGCTGATAAAGTAGACACTTTCTCCTGGTAGGAGAATCTATAACCAGGGGTCACAGTCTTAAAATTAAGGGTCAGCCTTTTAGAACAGAGTTGAGGAAACATTTCTTCACTCAGAGTGTAGTGAATTTATGGAACTCACTTCCCCAGAAGGCTGTAGATGCTCAGTCCTTGAACATTTTCAAGGCTGAGACTGATAGATTCTTGAAAAATAGAGGGATTAGGGGATATGGGGTAGGGCAGGTAATTAGAGTTAGGTCAGAAGATCTTATCAAATGGCGGGGCAGGCTTGAGGGGCTGAATGGCCTACTCCTGCTCCTAATTCTTATGTTCTTATGTTCTAACATTACGAATTAGTCATCCTACCACATAACTGTGTCAACATTGCGTGGATTATGAGTGTTTATTTTGGTCAGTCGGGTGTCTTGACACATGGGGAAACCCATCAAGGCTTAAAATGTATCCAAACCAAACTGAGAATTCCATGCATCCCACCTACACATGGAAATCCCAGAGATAGATTGTTAGAATGGAATGCGCTCTCTCTCCCTGGAGGGACACATCCTGTTTACCTAATTCCCGAAAGTGCAGGTTGGCAAGAGCCAAGGCTTGGAGACCCAGAGTGTGCATTGGGGTAACTGCTGGAGTCTAACCAACTAAAACTGCATGAAAAGGGTTTCTGTACATATGTATATGTTTCATGTTTTATCTGTGTGGTTGGCTGGCAGAATATTTTATCTTTCAGATACATTCATCTTGTTTGATCAGATGTTTTTTAAAAGGCTTTATGACCAGCCAATGTAAAAAATATGTAGTTCAGTACTTTCAACTTGGGGAGTGCAGAGGAGGTGACTGTGTATTTCGTTGGTGAATGCAACAGCCAATTTGCATAAGGCAATGTCCCACAAACAACCATCAAGTAAATAACCAATTTTTTTTTTATCTGGGGGTTTGTCAGCCATGACACTGGCAAGAGAGAGAAACTCCCTTCTCTTTTCGAGTAGCGCCACGACCACCTTAACGTCCACTTGAACAGGGCAATGACGGGAACTTGGTTTAACATCTGATCCGAAGGACTGCCCATCTGACAATGCAGCACATCCCCAGCTTTGCACTTGAGCGCAGTCTCTACAAAGTAATAATAATAATCCTTGCATTTGCTATAACGTCTTATCACGTCTTCGAGACATCTCAAGGCGCTTCACAGAATATACTGTAAAGTGAATTGACTGTATATTTTGTGGGCGAAACACGGCAGCCAATTGCGCACAGCAGCGTCCCACAAACAGTCGTGAATGAGTGCCCAATATTTTATTCTATTTTTTTGAAGGAATTATTACCCCTGGAAAAGCAACCCACCAATCGACTAACAACCTACTTGCTGCTAGTTAAACAGAGGCACGTGGAGTAAGGAAATTTGCCCAACATTTCACCCTGCCAGGAATCAAAACCAGGGGAGGCGAGTGCTCTAACCGCTGAGCTCTAAGACTCCAAAGAAGGACGTATTTAGGGTATTTGGATCAAAGCTCCTCTGTTTCCATGAGCATGTGGGGTGTGTGAGCTCCTAATTCCAGCCAATCTAACCCATTGAACTTACCTTTTAGCAACTGAACCACTCCAGTTGCTCATGACAACAGAGTGTGCTTCGATTTAACCTCGGAATATTACTCACTGACTGACAACAGTGTCACACTACATTAAGTCCAGAAACTTCGCAGAGTCGTATATATCTATCTTGTACTAATTTGTCCCCAAATTACGCAATATATCATCACCTTCGGTTAACTTGATTCAATGTGGGGGATAAAAAATGATTTGTTGGAAGATGTTTTGATGTACAGTGCAAGATAAACAAGGAAGATTTTCTCAAATAGTTTAATATAGGAACTCATTTTACAGAGAGCAGTAAATTAAATAACTTTGACATGTCCCCATAAATAAGCCAGGAGTTTGGGAGTTTGGTAGTTAGTCATTCTGTCCTGTCTATCAAATTGCTACCGATCGTTTACAGGTATCTTAGACATTAACCCTGTCTATCTGGGTGGCAAAGATGTTAACAACAACAACTTGCACTTATATAGCACCCCTCACACAGGCAGCGTCTCGGAGCGCTTGACAGTGATGGAGTCTGACTCCGAGCCGTCCTTTGGATGAGATGCTAAACTGAGGTCCCACTTGACTGTTCAGGTGGATGTTAAAGATGCCATGGCACTGCTCAACAAGCGACAAGAGTTTCTCTCTTGTGGTTTCCTGGTCAACAATCCCCCAAATAAAATTGGTGATTCACTTCATGGCTGTTTGTGGGGCCATTGCTGTATGTAAGATTGGCTGCTGAGTTTGCCTATAAAATACACTGTGAAATCCTGTGAAGTGCTTTGAGACGTCTCAAAGACGTGCTAAGGTGCTGTAATTTTTTTTGTTCAGCCGGGTGTCTGACACATGCAGAAACCCATCACTTCTTAAGAGTATCCGGACCAAATTGAGAATTCCATGCATCCCACCTGCACATGGAAATTCCAGAGATAGATTGTCGGATTGGAATGCGTATTCTCTCCCTGGAGGGACATATCCTGCTTACCTAATTCCAGAAAGTATTAAGCGCAGGTTGCAAAGAGCTAAGGATTGGGGAGGGACCCCAGGGTGTGCGTTGGGGTAACTGCTGGAGTCTAACCAGCTAAAACTGCATTGATTGCATTGACTGGCAAGCTTTCCACCTGCTTGTCCAGCTAGGACCATCCTACCTATTAAGGCGCTGTACCAAGTTCAAGGATATCATTACAAAGAAGGGTCACACTAACAGAATGTCTCTTGTTTCTCCCCAGCCTGTGACCTGGTGTCACAAGGGATTCTGGCTCTCGTCAGCTCCACTACCTGTGCACCTTCGGCCTCGCTCCAGTCCCTGGCGGATGGCATGCACATTCCTCACCTCTATATCCAGAGAGCCACGGCTGGGACTCCGCGCTCGCGATGTGCCATCACGAGGAACACCAGGAGCAATGATTACACGCTGTCCGTCCGACCCCCAGATTATTTCAATGAAGTTATTCTTAAAGTTATCACTGAATTCTCCTGGCAGAAGTTTATGATCTTCTACGATGGCGCCTACGGTAATGATCCACATGGGACAGGGGGAATTGCATGGGGAGAGGGGGAATTGGATGGGGAGAGGGGGAAGTGGAAGGGGAGAGGAGGAATTGGATGGGGAGAGGGGGAATTGGATGGGGAGAGGGGGAATTGGATGGGGAGAGGAGGAATTGGATGAGAAGAGGGGGAGTTGGATGGGGAGAGGGGGAATTGGATGGGGAGAGGGGTAATTGGATGGGGAGAGGGGGAATTGGATGGGTGGGGAGGAATGGGAGAGGAGAAGGGGAATGGGAGGAGCGGAGGCTCAGGAGTGCAAACTAGCTGAGTCGAAAGGCCTTTTGCCGTGCTGCACAGTCTGTGTCATTGTAATTCCAAGCTTACGATACAAACCTTTGAATTTTAATTACCACCTGCAAATGACTGTGACTCTCGCATTGGAATCTGTAATCTTTAACAGAATCCACACAGCTCCGCAATTCATTTCCAACTATTGTGTTCAAAATGTAATTTTAGCAAATAGGATTTAGCAAATTGTTCAAGGCAATTTTCTGGAGAAGAATCTGAAAACGATTGAAGCTTTGTGAGGCGGGTCAGGGATTATTTGTGGGTGATAAAATTCCTATGAATAAGTATTTAAGAGTTCGCAGTGTGACGTTGGGAACAGGTGCTGAGCATGTAGCTGAGATTCAGGAAAGCCGTCACTAACCCTAATGTGAAGTCACTTCCAGGGAGCAGGCAAGAAAATACGGGTCGATGGCACACCATGGATCACTCTTACGTAGAAGGGCCTTCTTCTGCGTTGTGAATGTTTAGCGCGCCAAGTGAGAGGACCTGGGTTTATTCCCGGGCAGAGCGAAAGCTTAGGCAAGTTTCCTCACTCCATGCACCTCTATTTACATAGCAGTAAGTAGGAACCCCGGTTGTTAATTGATTGGCGGATCACTTTCTGGAGGTAATAATCCCTAAAAAAAACAAACAACAACAAAAATTTGGTCAATCGGCGACTGTTTGTGGGACACTCCTGTATGCAATTGGCTTCCACACTGCGCTCACAAAATCCACTTTACAATATATTCTGTGAAGCGCTTTGAGACGTCTCAATGAACTGACAAGACGCTAAATCAAATGCAATGATTATTATTACTATTATAATCTTCTCTGCCCATCTGCATTATTCATTTAATGCCCGGAGAGCATCATGGAGACTGCAATTTAATTACAGTGCAGTTCTGGAGCCCAATGAGGGACGCTGAGACTTTTCAGGAAAATTTAAAAAGTATATATATTTTAATTAAACTGGGATTTTTTTTTATTGGTGTAAATGAAGGAGGATTCTTATCCTTTGCGAGCATCAAGGTCAACCAGTTCAGGCCTGGAGAAGGCGGAGAAATAATTTGTCACAATGCTCATTGCTATGTTTAAGACATTGCTTTCGTTGGTGATGAAGCATCAATGTTAAAGGAGCAGTGACTGAGTGGGGGCAGGAGGAAAAACTGTTTACAGAGATGTATTGTTGACGGTTTGGTGAGTAGGACTCGAACCATGTGAGTGTGGTCCCACTGAGGTGGATGAGGGAGGAGAGGCAGTAGAGGAGGATGGCGGTATCTACTATGTCGAATGCAGTGGAGAGGTCCAGGAGAACAAGGAGGCAGAGGGAGCCCTGGTCACAGAGAGAGAGGATGTCATTTGTTACTTTGACGAGCGCTGTCTGTGGTGTGGGCAAGCTGAAAACCAGACCGGGGGTTCGAGTAGGGATTGGAGGGAGAGGTGTAAGCGAAGTTGATTTGCAACGACTCGTTCTAAAACATTGGCCAGGAAGGGCAGGTTTGAGATGGGTCTGAAGTTTGTGAGGTTGGAGGGATCGAGGGTAACAACAACACAACTTGCATTTATATAGCGCCTTTCACACGGGGCAGCGTCTCAGAGAGCTTAACAGTGGCGGAGCCTGACATTGAACCGGAAGGGAGGGAGGCGGTGACCGTAAAGAACATAAGAACATAAGAATTAGGAGCAGGAGTAGGCCATTCGGCTCCTCGAGCCTACCCCGCCATTCAGTAAGATCATGGCTGATCTATTCTAACTCCACCTACCCGCCTTATCCCAATATCCCTTTATCCACAAGGAATCTATCAATCTCAGTCTAAGCAAAGACAAAGAGGAAGGGTGGGATTGGGGGAGAGTTCCTCAGCAAGCTGTAAGCAATAATAGACAAACTCAAGGGCTTCTCAGTTTTGAGAGGGGACCTTGTAGAGGCGTAGAGCATTTCAAATGGAAAATGGGACTGTGACTGGTTCAATAAAAAATTAGCTTCACGTTGCGATGAGTGGATGGTAAGGTGGGTGGGTGAGTGAGTGTTCTTGAGGGATGATATCAGATGGGACCAAATGATCTGTGGAGTCCTGTAGCATAGTGGGTAACACCTCGCAGTAATTAGGAACCCGATTGTTAGTTGATTGGCAGATCACTTTCTGCGGTAATAATCCCTGAAAAAAAATGTAGTCACTCAATCCACAACTATTTGTGGAACACTGCTGTGTGCAATTGGATGCTGCGTTTCGCCCACAAAATCCACTTTGCAATATATTCTGCAAAGAGCTTTGAGACGTCTCAACCACGGAATAAGGCGCTGTATCAAATGCAAGGATTATTATTATTATTATTATTATTTATCAGAACTGATCTTGTGATCTTGTGAAATTGATTTCTCTCACACATCGATTCCTTGTGTTTGGACAGACATTCGGGGGATCCAGGAGTTCTTGGGCCAAGCCGGTCGGCAGGGAATAGAGGTCTCGCTCCAAAAGGTTGAGACTAGCATCAGCAGTATGTTCACAAGTCTCTTCTCCACCCTCGGCTTTGATGAGTTAAGCCGTTTCCGAGATATGCTTCGTCGAGCTTTGCTCTTCCTCAACCCACGCACAGCGAAGACCTTTATCAGCGAGGTAAGAGATTAAAGCAGCTTTTTCAAATTATATAATATACATAATGAACACAGTCATTTCGCCTCATGTACAAAATGTACTGACGAGGAAAATAGTGCTCCGTTATGGAGGAGGATAATGTTCTCGCTTCAGTCAAGATTGGCAATAACCTGGAATGGAAAAGAAAAACGCTTCTTCTTCGAACCTTTTTTGAATCACTGTTGACACTCAACTTTCTTGTGCAGCGTGAAGCATAGCGCACAGGAACTAAGGTCAGCAGCAGCCCGACCACCAGGAAGTGAGCCTTGGTGGCCATTTTGTTTAACACAGCCCATTGTAACATGGGGTGAGGGCGTTGCCTATCCCACCATCTTAAAATGGTATCCAGCTGTGTATTATACTACTGGCATAGGTCTTATGTTGCTGTTTATACTACAGCGCTTACAGGGGCTGTGAAGTGGAGGGGTGGGGAATAGAGATGGATTTTGCAGTTCCAATAGGACTTACGCACATCACAAATATAAATGTGTCCAGACATTTTTTTTGTTACTAAAATTTGTAAGAGCTCTGGGGGGTAAAGGGTTAATTTTGTCGCAAACGCTGTTCCAGTCGGCCAACACTATTTCGACCCAACTCAATTAAACCGACGAATTGTAAAGATTTTTATTTCTCTCCCCCTCCCCCCCCTCGCAAATTAAGTAATTAAGTGGACAGATTAATGCACTTTTCATTGGGGGAGTGAGTGTATTGGTTATGCAGTCATCGTTGCTCAAATCATATAAAAACTAGAAGCTTTTCATTTTGTTTTTCAATTATAAAAATTTTATCGAGAGTGTGATTTCTCCTTATGGATGTGTGTTATCTACTTTGGCTACTGCAATTAACAGCCACTGCAATCTGATTTAATATTGGTTGAAGAATGTGACCGTGTGCCATAAAAATGTTCAGTTCGTAACTATAGCGCTCATCCTAATAGCCGAGGCAAACAATTAAAGTCTTGAGAAGAATAACACGCTGTTATATAGATTATAAGGTTTGTGTGTCCCCTGCGATGAGAATCTGTATCTCTACAACAATATCTAGGAAAGTGCTGCTATTCCACGTGGCTGGTTTACCCTATCCACTCTGACTGACTAAGCCTCATGTCACACGGAAATAACAAGACAGGAACAGACCACTCAGCCGCTCAAGCCTCTTCACCATTCTATTAGGTCACGGCTGATTTCGTATTTAATCCCATTTCCTTGCCTTCTCAAACTATCCCTTGACACCCCGACTTGCCAAATATTCCTCCACTTTCTTGTATCCCTAAGCGCAGTCGAACAGGAAGGTCGTTAGGTCCGATCTGAAGATGGGTAAGGAAGGCCGGAGAGATTGATGCAGGGCATTCCAGAGTTTCGGAGCTAATGGCTTTTATGTATCGCACAGTGGGTGTGTTTTTCATGCAGTTTGTCTGCACGAACAGAGCGTCAGCCTGGGCTGTGTGAGCTCCCAGCCGTGACCCTGCACTGCATCCCAATCACTGACCCCGGGCAAAACCCAGAGTCAGAGCCGAGAAAGCGCTCGCATCAATGTGGCTGTGTTCCACACCAGACAGTCAAGTTAGCAAGCCAGCCATTTAATGATTGGAAACGTTGGCTTATACATTACATTACCTGATGCAGCTAAAATGTCTCTGGCTGATTAATCCCCATCTCTCGGAGCTTGGATGTTACAGTCAGTGTATTAACAATAATTAACAGGATATGGGAGCCATAGAACATCCACTCTCCAGAATAGGAATCCGCTCTTGATGAATTTGTGTGGTGTTTAAAAGAATGTTAATTAGTTTAAAGTCAAATTTAAATTCTATCTATTGCTGCCGACTGTTGTGTGTGTTTTTTTCCGTCACTATCATTGAATAAGAAGTTTAAAATGTTGGAAATGTGAAAAGGAGTATCAAACACTGGGATTATTTGTTTTGCGTTTCACCCACAAAATATAGTTTTTACAGTATGTTCTGTGCTTTAAGCGCTTTGAGACGTCTCAACCCAGTGAAAAGGTGCTGAATCAAAAGCAAGAATTATTAAGATAATTATTATTATTTTGAGGCATGGGTTCAGTTTTTGCATGAACCAAAGCCCTTATGGGTAATGTAGTCGTAGCCAGACAAGCAGCCAGAAAACTTGCCAGACAGTGCTCTCAATGGCAAGCTTTGTGGTTTTGGCTGGTTAGACTCCAGTAGTTATAATAATAATAATAATAATCCTTGCATTTGATATAGCGCTTTTCACGTCGGGATGACGTCCCAAAGTGCTTCACAGAACATACTGTAAAGTGAATTGACTGTATATTTGTGGGCGAACGCGGCAGCCAATTGCGCACAGCAATGTCCCACAAACAGTCATAGATTGAAAATGACCAATTTATTATTGCTTTGTTTTTTTTGGAGGGATTATTATTAGGCTCTGTGTGGAGTAAGGAAACTTGCCCAAGGTTTTGCCCTCTGCCTGGAATTGAACTCAGGTCTCTCACTTGCAAAGCGAGTGCTCTAACCACTGAGCTACAGGACTCCACTTGAGTTACCCCAACGCATACTCTGGGCTGACTTGGCTTTTGCCAACCTGGTCTTAATACTCTCTAGGATTTGGTAAGCTCTGGATCTGGGTGTGGCTCTGTCCATAATATACTAAATAATCTTTTCAAAGGTCACTAACGTAACAATTCTGAAGCACTAGTGAATAACAGGTTACTAGGAACAAGGGAATAGTTTATTCAGAAATTACTCCCACTCGTTGCTTGGTATGCTCTTACACGCTGTGAGATTTCCTTTTATGTAGCAATACTCTATAATTGCAAGTCCTTGTTGTGAACCATCTCCTAACGAATGTGACAATGCTTTTTGTTATTTCACCAGCAGTTTAAGCGCCATGTTGGTCCAAGACAATAAAATAAAATGTTTGTAATTCGCAGTCTGTTCGGCAAACACAGAGGCAAATTTTTATGAAGCTGAAAGATAACCACAGCAAAATTACTCTGTGAACATCTGTTTCTTTTGTTCCATTGTATATAAACCAGTTCCTTTGTGTTAAAAGTACGATTGCATCAACTGAGCTAAAATACCAGCGGTGGGATTAAACCTTCATTTACACAACAATAATAATAACCCTTATAATACATACACAATATTAATAATAATACACAAGAACTGTTTTTCTGGTCCCAGCGCGATGAGAAAGGGACCTTTTCTCCTTTAAAAAGATTTTCATTAAAGATATTAATTCTTGCATTTGTAATATTTGTTTTTGATGACAAAAATAATTGGATACAAATCTGCTTGAAACTCGTCCATTGCAGATTTTGCGCGGATTCTCATTTCCTGTGGGAAATCAATGATTTCCGTGGATACAACGACACAATTACATTTATGGAGCATCTTTCACATCAGGAGGATATCCCAAAGCGCTGAATAGTCAGGTGTCGGGGCCCGAGCACAGGGGAGGGGTGGGGCAGTGTTGAGGGAAGGCAGAGAGGTGGGAGGACGACCAAAGGCACGATCGAAGAGAAAGGTCTTAAGACCGGCCTTGAAGGAGGCAAGGGAGGAAGCGAGGCAAAGGGACCATGGGATGGAGTTCCAGAATGTAGGAGCAGAGAGGCTGAAAGCCCGGCCACTGATAGTAGGGCGGATTGGGTGGGAGATATGGAGCAGACTGAATGGGAGATATGGAGCAGACGGGGCCCGCTGAATGGAGGGAGCAGGCAGGTTGGTAGGGAGTCAGCAGGTCAGAGAGGTAGGAGGAGGCAAGGCCATGGATGGCCTTGAAAATGAGGACGAAGATCTTGAATTCAATCCTCTGGGGGTTGGGGAGCCAGTGGAGTTGGGCGAGGGTGGGTGTGATGGGGTCACGGAGCCTGGTATGCGAGAGTACACGAGCTGCAGAATTTTGGATGATCTGCAGCTTGTGAAGGGAAGAGAGGGAGTTTCCGTAATCGAGCCTTGATGTGATGAATGCGTGGGTGAGGGTTTCGGCAGTCTGAGGGGTGAGGCAGTGTCAGAGTCTTGCAATTTTGCGGAGGTAATGGTAGACAGTGCTGGTCATGGCGTGGATGTGGGGGAGAAAGGACAGTTCAGGGTCAAACAAGACACCCAGGTTCTTGTCTGGCTTAGTGAGGTTGAGTGTGCAGCCATGGAGGCTGATGATGCCAGCGCCCGAGGTGCGGAGGCACTGGCATGAGCCAATCAGGAGGGCCTCAGTCTTGTTGACATTGAGTTGGAAAAAGTTGTCCCTCATCCAGGACTTGATATCAGACAGGCAGTTGATCAGGATGCAAGTAGTCCTGAAGTTGAGGGTGGAGGCAGAGAGATAGAGTTGGGTGTCATCAACATACATGTGAAAATTTACCCCATGTCTGTGGATGATGTCACCAAGGGGGAGCATGTAGAGGGTGAAGTAGAGGGGACCGAGGATAGAATCCTGAGGAACACCGCAGAAGACGGTGATGGGGTTGGAAGAGAAGCCATTTGCTGCGACCAAGTGGAGGCGTGTGAAAGGTACAACCTGAACCAATCAAGGACAGAACCTTGAAGGTTGAGGTGGGAGGAGAGGTGGTGGAGGAGGATTGAATGGTCCACGGTGTCAAAGGCAGCAGAGAGGTCAAGGAGGATAAGGATGCAAAAGGAACCCTGGTCGCACATGGTCAGGATGTCATTTGTAACCTTGATCAGAGCAGTTTCCATGCGCAGCACGGAAACCCAATTGGAGGGGCTCATGGATAATCTCAATTTCTGTTCTCGAGAGGGGTTGGGTGGGGGTAAGAACATTTTGGTGTGCTGGGAAAGAGATCAAATTTTGAAGGAGGTGCAGAAGAGTCTTTCTTTGACGTCTGGGGGAATATCTAACCGCTTTTACAGCTGTTTGCAGGACGTTGCTGTGTGCAAATTGGCTGCACACAGTCACTCCACTTTACAGTGAATCCCATGAAGCTCTTTGAGATGTCCTCTGAGCGTGAAACCCACCACATCAAATGCAAGGATTATAGTATGTCTTTCCTTGTTTTTTTCCCAAAGAGTTGGGAGTGGACGGAGGATTCAGCATTATGTGTGAAGATCAATCTTTGTCAGAAGATCTGGAAAATAAGAACCTGGTTTAATATGTCACATAAAAAGCTTGTGGACACTTTGACGTAACCCGTGCTCTGCTCTGTCTTCTCCGCAGGCTGTCGATACCAATTTGGCAGCTGTTGACAGTCACTGGATCTTCATCAATGAGGTAAGTGTTGCGGAGTTGAACTACACATGTTCAGCACTGTGGAGAGCTGCCAACTCCTGTATTGCATCTCCCTGCAATAGACGGGAAGTGTGAATTGGAAACGGGGGTGGAATTAGGCAAGAGAATTAGTCTGGACGCTCACATGGAATTTAAACGCCACCGTGGACAAGCTGAGCTGAATGGCCAGTTTTCATGCATGCTCCAAGTTTAATAATTGTTAAATTGTTCAGCTGATTCCTTTTCTGTTGTTCGCTACAGAATTGCGTGCAGATTGAACATTTGTCAGCTGCACGGCTGGACAGAGAACCGTACTGTGCCTGGGGGAGGGGTGTTTAGACCTATATATAGTTTGGCGTTCTCGGACTGAGATTCTCAACAGCACATTAACTAAGCTCCAAGTAATAGACACAACACTTAGAAGCACATTAATGACCAGGGAAAGAATGAAATGATCTCAGACAAACATAGGAACAGGAGTAGGCCATTCAGCCCCACTAACCTGTTCCGCTGATCTGATCTATACCTCATCTTCTACCTCAACATACCACAAGACGCTGCTGGGTTGGGGGAGGTCAAAGAAACATTTTACAGGATGAATTTCGAAGCGACTGACTTGTGTCTCAATGATTTTTTATTGGGGTTGGGGGGGCTGTTTCCGCAGGAGATCAACGACGCAGATGTACGTGAGCTGGGCCGGAGGCTAACAGGGAGGCTGACTGTGATCCGGCAGACGTTTCCCATGTCCGAGAGCAAGAGCCAATACTGTCTGAGCCAAAGGCACAGGTTCTCCTCCGCCATGTGCAACCCCAAGGACCCCTTCACCCAGCACATGGAGGTAGATTCTCACTGCCTCAACCTCAACAATGTGATCTTGCGACCCCCAACACTTGCAATGAAGTAAATTGGGCTTGTTCATGCTGGAAAAGAGAAACTTGATAGGGGATATGATAGTATTTTGTCAGATACTAAAGGAACTGAAAAATGTAGACCATCATAAACTTTTATTTTGTGCCAAACAGTAAAACCTGAGGACGTAGCCTGCGATTGAAGGGGGGGTAAATTCAAATCTAAATCTGCGGAAACGCAACTTCATTGAGCGAGTATGGAATAGGCTCCTTAGGGAGATGGTGAAAGCAGAAAGTGTTGACTCTTTCAAAAGATAGATTTCCTTTAGGAAATAATATCGTGGGATATGCTATAGGGTGACCAAAAAGTCACGAAGCTATCCTATTATCTAAAAAAAATCATCATTTCTTTAAGACTTATTAGACATTGTAATGGTATCACAGCTTTTTGGTCAACCTGTATATAGTTTGGGACATGATATGTACAAGCGACTGCCAGGATGGTGGAAGGCAAACTGGATTGACTTTGGTCTTCTTTCATTCAGCAATTCTTATGTTCTTATTTTAACACCTCGCCATAAAGTTAACAAAAGGTTAGCAGGCTCCAACCACCGACACCCTTTTAACTGACACCCATTGCATCTTGCTATCCTCCCTTTACATTCGATGAGCTGCCAAAATGTGAAACCAATTTGAAAACAAACACTTTGAGACTCCCTCATAAAATGCGCTCACAAAACACACAGTGAATTAACTTTACAGTATGTTCTGTAAAGTGCTTTGAGACTTCTCAACGACATGGTAAGACGCTGTATCAAATGCTAGGATTATTATTATTTTTATTATATCGTGAAAGGCGCTCTTATCAAATGTGCAAGGGTTATAAATAATTACTATTGTTGTCCCGCACGCCCAAATCCCGCTCTGTGCAAATAATGTGCACATGCGCCGCTCCCTCAATAACATTCAATGAAAAGAAACAGATGCATTTACAAAGGTTCCTTTTGTGAGCTGGGATGGAGTTGGATGGCTCAGAGGGTTTACAGTGAAGCTGGTGAGTTTGACTGTCACTCTGCTAGGAGGTGTCGGAGGCCAGGTTACAGGCATTAATTTTAGCAGCAACTTGATGCTGTAATGGGAAGATAAGCGAGACTGGTGGTCTGTTGGGAATGGAACTCTCTTGTGATCTTGTGACTCCACGTCCCACTGAAAGCATCATCTCGACGTGATGTTCACAACCAAACAGATTGATGTACCCGGGGGTGAGGGAAGGAGGGGGAGGCAGACCACTGACCAATTAACTGAATTGGTGAAAGGTAATCTGACGGTTTCACTCTGTAACCAGCGTCTGGAATGAGAGTACGCTAGCAATTTGTGTCTTTACATGGGTATATATAAATATATATATATGTGTGGATTTTTGTTAATGTCTTGGCACTTGGTTCATCGTTGCTTTGCTGCCAGCTGTGTGCATCACTTTGATCGTGTTTCCAACACAACCACACTCCCATGGTGTTTTGATTGACAGCTCGGCAATGGAAACTGATTGATTTACACCCACGGACATGATTTTCCATTGTTATTTGTCCAAACTAATTGTTTATTATATAGATATACAGTATTTATTTATATATCGTTTTATGCAATTGTTTGCATGTGCACTATATCTATGTATACACAATATACGTAAGGATTATTATTATTATTACATGTCTTTTTTTTAACACTAGATTTTATTTGAATGTCCCTGTGGATGTTACTCCCCCGGTCATGCCGTGGGTTGGTCAGCTTAAATACTGATATCATCAAAATGCTGCGTATGAGCTCTGAGATCACATTACGTGGGATAAGATGTTAAACCGAGGTCCTGTCTGCGCCTGTTCAGATGGACGTTAAAGATCCCACAGTTATTCGAAAAGAGATGGGAGTTTCTCTCTCTCTCCTGATGTCCTGGCCAGCAATCCCCCAAATAAAATTGGTCGCTTACTCCACTGCTGTTTGTGGGACACTGCTGTGCACAATTGGCTGCCATGTTTCACCCACAAAATAGACAGTCAAAAACAACGTATCCTGTGAAGGCGTCTCAATGACGTGATAAGGCGCTATATCAAATGCAAGAATTATTATAAATAACAATGATATAATAATCCTTGCATTTGATATAGCGCTTTTCACATCTTCTCGACGTCGCAAAGCGCTTCACAGAATAGACTGTAAAGTGAATTGACTGTATATTTGTGGGTGAAACGCGGCAGACAGTTGCGCACAGCAATGTCCCACAAACAATCGTGGATTGAAAATGACCAATTTTTTTTTTTTTGGAGGGATTATTATTAGGCTCTGTGTGGAGTAAGGAAACTTGCCCAAGGTTTCGCCCTCTGCCTGGAATTGAACCCAGGTGTCTCTCTTGCAAGGCGAGTGCTCTAACCACTGAGCTACAGGACTCCTGAGCTACACCTCCTTATCAATAAAGAAGCAGAAGGGAGGTGAGGAAAAAAATTTCACACAGCGAGTTGTTCGGATCTGGAATGCGTTGCTTGAAAGGGTGGTGGAAGCCGATTCGATAACAACTTTCAAGAAAGACGTAGATAGATATTTGGGGAGGACAAGTTTGCAGGGGTATGGGGAGAGCGCGGGGGAGTGGGATTCATTTGGATAGCTCTTTCAAAGAGTGGGCACGGACACGATGGGTTGAATGACCTCCTTGTATGCTGTATAATTCTCTGATTCTATATGGTGAAAGAATTTTATCTCACTGGTCCCTGGGTTTAGAGATGCAGAGCTGTCAGCCTGTAACTCTGCTTGTGTGTGGAGACAACAACAACAACTTGCATTTATACAGCACCCTTCACACGGAGGGGTAGTGTACCGGAGCGCTTGACAGTGGCGGAGTCGGATTCCGAGCAAGGGGGAAGGTAACCGTGAGCACCATCAAAAAGACTCTCGGTTTCAGCAGCTGATTTGCGCTGAGATCCTTGCTCTCGCCCCTGCAGATCTCCAATCTCTACGTGTACGACAGTGTTTTGCTGCTGGCTGACGCCTTCCATAAGAAGCTGGAGGACAGAAAGTGGCACAGCATGGCCAGCCTGACTTGCATCCGCAAAAACTCCAAACCCTGGCAAGGCGGAAGGTCCATGATCGAAACCATCCAAAAGGTAACGTCCACTGCGCCAAAAGGATCAGTCAGTCCTTCCGATGAGATGTTAAACCGAGCTCCCGTCTGTGCCCTGCTCAGGCGGACGTTAAAGTTCTCACGGCGCTATTCGAAAAGAGAAAGGAGTTTTTCTCTCTCTCTCTTCTGGTGTCCTGGCTGAAAATCCCCCTGATAAAATGAGTCGTTCAGTTCATGGCTGTTTGTGGGACACTGCTGTGGGCAATTGGCCGCAGTGTTTCGCCCACAAAATGCAATCAATCCACTTTACAATGTATTCTGTCAAGTGCTTTGAGGCGTCTGAACGACGTGATAAAGCACTGTATTCAAATGCAAGGATTATTATTACTGAAACCATATCGATCCTCGGTGTTGTATTGTAAAACCAAATGGCTTGATTGTCTGTCTAAACCTTGGTGCATGGGCTGTTCCTGATTATGGATCAGTGAAGCAAAGCTTTGCAATTCCGTACAAAATGCAATCATTCGCTGCATAAATCCCTCCAAAAAACTTAAAGAGAGGGAAAATAATTAAATAGCGCGCTATGGAATGTCGCTGCATGCAAATTACTGTCCGCATCTAACTACAAAACACAGTCACTCCACTGTACAGTGTGCCCTGTGAAGCGCTTTGGGACATGATAAGGCGCTGTGTCAAGCAGCTTCCCTGTATGCACGCAAGCTAAGAATCATTTGCACGTACCACAAATTTGTGCGATTGTATAATGATCTTATTATGAATTTTATTCGAACCGCGAGTGGGAGAAAATAAAATAAACCAATGCGTTTTACCTTATCTCGTTTCCACAGATTAACAATTTAATTTTTGACATTTGGCATTTACAATCTACAAGTGTGTGTGTGTGTGTGTGCGTGTGGCCTTTTTTAAAATTTGATGTTGATTCTTTTTTTTTGCCTTTTCACTTCCAGGGACAAGTAAGTGGATTAACGGGAATGTTAAATTTCAGGGAAGACGGCGTAAATGCCAACGTTCTGTTTGAAATTCTGGGTACGAGTTACAGCGAGGATAAGGAGCGAGGCATTCAACGTGTAAGTGACATTTTAAATCCAGTAAATTAAATTCAATAATTAGAAAGCCACAGATGTCAAACTGAGCTACTCTCACAGATGCACTTTCTCTCTTTCTCTCTCTCTGCATTTTTTCTGCTAAGCTCTGATCTTAGATAAGACCAATCAACAATGCACAGACACTCTCTGATTTTTCCCTGCGACCTCCTTGCAAATACCAGACTGCCGCCAGCAATCTGCAATTATTTGCAGCAGTTAAAATAACTCTCTAAAAAGCAAAAACAAAGATTTTTTTTTAAAACACTAATAATTTGGTTGCTCATCGCACGACTGTTTGTTGGGGCGCTGCTGTGCGCAATTGTCTGCCGCGTTCGCCCACAAAATATACAGTTAATTCACTTTACAGTGTATTCTGTGAAGCGCTTTGAGATGTCTCAGCCATCAGGCCCAAAGCTTTGGAACTCTCTCCTTGAAATCCTCCGCCTTGCCGCTTCCTTCCCCATTTTCAGGTCACACCCAATGATTTTCTTCTTCGACCGCGCTTACGGTCATCTGCCCCCGGCTCGGTTTCAAGCTCCGCAACCGTTAAGCGCTCTAAGATGCTGCCCTGCGTGAAGGGTGAGAATGCAAATGCAAGTTGTTGTTGTAAGTAACCGTGCCTTACTTTCCTTCTGCAGCTGGGTGTGTGGAGCCCGACAAGTGGATTTAACGGCTCGCTGGTGGATCAAAAGCTGGACAACAGGATGGAGGGCGTGACTCTGCGGGTCGTGACAGTTCTGGTAACGCCATCCGCTTCCTTTACCCTTTTGGAAATCTGCGGTGTCTGTCAGCCGAAGTGTTTTATTTTAGATTCGCTGCACGTGTATGTTTGTGTGCCTGTGTTTGGGAGTGCATGGTTGTGCGCGCGCGTGCGTGCATGTCTGTGTGCGTGTCTGTGCGCGCGATTGCGTGTCTGCACACGCATGCGTGCGTGTCTGTGTGCGTGTCTGTGCGCGCGAGTGCGTGTCTGTGCACACGAGTGCGTGTCTGTGCGCGCGCGTGCGTGCGTATCTGTGCGTGCGCGTGTCTGGGTGTGTGCGCGTGGGTATCTGTGCGTGAAGTAAGGAAACTTGCCTAAGGTTTCGCCCGCCCGGGAATCGAACCCGTGGCCTCTCGCTTACGAGGCGAGCGCACTGACCACTAAGCTGCAGGACTCCACTTTTCGTCTCCAAGTGGGTCACAGGATTTGCTGCAAATCCTGGTGCAGGTGACTGTACCTTTCAGTGGGGGGGGGGGGGGGAGGAGGGAGACGGATTATTTTTGAATTCACAAAGGAGGCACACATTACGCTCGCTCCTTGCGAATATCTCATTGGGTTATCGGATTGTAAACGGAGATTTCCGAGAGCATTTGTAACAAGGTGCAAGGTGAGAAATGTACCGGTTGATATTCCTGACCCATTGACTACGGTAAGCAAAGGGAAAAGGCCATGGTTTTGTTAATGTCCCATTGTGCTATCTTGTCTGATTTTGGGAAGTAAGAGCTCCTTTGGAATCTGCCGCGTACAAATAAGCTGGCGAGATCACCGTTCAAGGTGCTTTGGCACAGACGCTCGGTTTGAAATGATGAACTGCAGACCGTTTTTCAAAATGGATCAGCATTTGGGTTAATGTATTTATTATGGCTCATTTGGCAAAATGCAAAAAAAAATTCTTAATAAATTTAGCATGAGACATAAAGCCACCGATGGCCCTGAGGGGGAAGGGGAAAGGGAGGGAGAGGGGAGAAAGCAGCTGTGGTCACAAGGATCTTCTGCTTTGAATAGAAAGGAAACTTGTTTTGTGTGATGTGCTCCTGAATGATTCATAAAAAATAATTCTCCCACCTTTTAAATTACGAACGAAAAAGTCAACTCCTTCTTGAATCTTGAAACGCAATCCGTCAACTTTAAGTTCTTGATTTCATGACAACAATTACGAGAAATTAACCTTGATTCAAAAAAAAATAATAAGGTAATTCTCAAAGATGTCTCTGGCCTCTCAGCTGCTTTGATAACAGCAGTGATTTGTGTTATTGGTACAATGGACGTGCAAGAATAATTGGTTAGAATAATAGTAATCCTTGTCAACATCCTCCAAAACCCTTGGTTGTCCAGCGCCCTAGGACATCTTTCTGACGTGAAGGGCACTATACAAGTGTAATTTGTTGTTGTATTTGATACAACACCTTTCAGGTTGAGAGGTCATCTCAAAGCACTTTGCACTACACCACTGTAAAGTACAGTGACTGATGGCGCATTTTGTAGCTAATTTACGTGCAGTAATGTCCCAGAAACATTCATGAAGTGAACGACCAATTTTATCTGCCGGAATGTTGTCCAGGACACCAAGAGAGAGAGAGAGAGAGAGACTCCTTTCTTTTTTCGAGGAGTGCCATGGGATCTTTGTCATTCCATCTAAACAGGGGTTTGATTTAACAGCTCGTCAGAAGGATGGCACCTCCAGCACTGCACTGGAGGCAGCAGAGACTGTGACCCACACAACCTTCTGAGTCAGAGGCGAGAGCACTACCAACTGAGGCTGACATCTAAAGGTTTTGTCACAGTGTTAAAAGGAGTTTTGCAGCAGTTAGCACAGTGTTAAGCAGCTGCCTTTACAAGCCAATATCCCACTTGAACGACCTGCCCCATTACCTCACAGAGAGCCGTAAGGCTATCACTCATAACACAGAGAGCCTCTTGTCTGCAGCGACAGAAAACAATGAATCAAGGTCTGAGACATAAAGCACAGACAATTAATGTAAAATGCAGCCTTTATGACTCATGCTTTCACTTGGGCCCAGCACAGCCTGATCGGTTCTGTCTCCTTACCCGGGTTTATACAAAGAAAAGCTGACATTTCACTTTGTGTTGGGCCAGAAGGAAGCCCGTCACCGTGCTTAAGAGCATCCAAACCAAACTGAGAACTCTATGCTTCCCTCCGCCTTGTCCCCTCTCTCCGCCTTTTCAAGTCCCGTCTGAAAACCTTCCTTTTCGACCGTGCTTACGGTCACCTCTTCCCGACCAACCCCAACCCCCTCCGGCTTGGAGTCAGGCTCCGCCATTGTTAAGCTCTCTGTGTGGAGGGAGCTATATAGGTGCAAGTTGTTGTTGCTGATGTTGTTTCCACCTACACATGCAAATTCCAGGGATAGATTGTTGGAATGGAATAGAATACACGCTCTTCCCCCTGGAGAGACGCAGCCATCTTACCTAATTCCGGAGAGTTATCAGGTGTAGGTTGGCAAGAGCCAAGGGCTGGGGGAGTCCAGAGTGTGCATTGGATAACTGGTGGAGTCTAACTTATAAAGCGCACCTCACCTTTCTTCCCGACGGTCTTTGCAGTTTTCCACTATCCCGCTGCCTTGCCCTCTTCTTCCCTATTTTCAGGTCACACCTGAAGACCTTCCTATTCGACTGTACCTACAGTCACCTACCTCTCCCCCATCCCCCTCCCCCCGCTGCAGCTCGGAGTCCTGCTCCGTCACTGTCAAGCTCTCTGGGACGCTACCCTGAGTGAGGGGCGCTATATAAATAAAAGTTGTTGTTGTTGCAGGAGGCTCCGTTTGTTCTGGTGGCAGAGAACGTGTTTGGGCAGCCTAAAGAATTCTGCGGCTACTCCATCGACGTCCTAAACACCCTGTCACAGCAGCTCGGCTTCAAGTACCAAATCTACCAAGTGCCCGACCGGCAGTACGGCAAAATCCAGCGGAACGGCAAATGGAACGGGATGATCGGAGAGCTGATTAACAAGGCAAGAGCGGGTCGCAGAGAAAACTAACCGATCCTCTGCATTCGGTTCAGTGCAGCAAAATGCGCCAACGTTTCGCTATTAGTAAAACTGTTCGCCATCACGGGTGAAAGTGCTGTTCATTAAAGCACAGCCGGTATCTCATGTCTGTGTGTTAATGGCATTTCAAAAGAGGAAATTGCATTTGAAAAGTCTTGTTCCTAATGCTTGTTTGATTGAAATGACTGCTAATAGCACTTGAGGTATATGTTAATGTTCGAGAGAATGTTAAATGGCGGTCTTCTGTATTTTTTTCAACTTTAAAAAGTTTCTTTTACACTTGAGTCGGAGTTTAGCAAGTGGGCGTCATCGGCAAACTGTTCTTTGTGAAAATAACGATGCTTACTGCAATCTGAGAATTTAGTTTAGGTATTGGAATCTAGGAAAGGGACAAAGCCACATTAGAAATTGAACCGAGAAGCTGCTTACAGTGTGTGTGAGAGTGGGTGTGAGAGAGTGTGGGTGTGGGGGGGCGGGGGCCAAGGGGAGGGGAGTGAGTGTGTGTGTGTATGTGTGCGAGAATGTGTGAGAGACCGTGTATGTGTGATTGTGCGTGTATGAGAGAGAATATGTAGGTGGGCGAGAGTGTGGGTGGGCGAGAGTGTGGGTGGGCGAGAGTGTGGGTGGGCGAGAGTGTGGGTGGGCGAGAGTGTGGGTGGGCGAGAGTGTGTGTGAGTGTGTTAGCAATTTCAGATGCAATTATCTCTCCGTTTGTCTGACGCGACCCAGAATTTCTTCATCGTCTGGAACCCGCACATACAGGCTCTGCATTTGGAAAATCCTAGATGAGTAGTCCTCACAAATGTTGACAGACAAAGAGCATATTGTCAAACCGTTCACTGGCACAGCGCTGTCAAAAGCAAAGGACTCACAACCCGAGTAATGTACTCGCAGAGGATATGCACCAGTTGATAATTTTAGTGTTTTTTTATTGTGTCTTTGGTAGTAATGGGAGCTGTGAAATGGAATGCTTTATCAGTCTGCCTTTATGTCGCTGTTAACCATTTCTCAGTCACTGACTCTGAAGAAGAACAACAACAGCAACAAAATTACATTTATAGAGCGCCTTTCACGTTGGGAGGACGTCCTAAAGTGCTGAATGGTCGGGTGTCAGGGCCCGAACATGGAGGAGGAGTGGTTTAGGGGTGAGGGAAGGCAGAGAGGTGCGAGGGCGACCAAAGGCACCATCGAAGAGGAAGGGCTGTGGCACTGACATCCATGAATTCAATGAACGCCAGCAACAAATTACATGTATGTAGCGTCTTTCACGGCATGTCCCAAGGCACTGGACAACCAGGAATTTGGACCCGAGCTGGGGGTTGGGATCAGGAGTGGTGGAGGGTAGGGTAGGAGGGTGACCGAAGGCGCAGTCGAAAAGGAGGGTCTTGAGATGGCCCTTGAAGGAGGTAAACCTGTCTAGCAAGAAAGAGGTCTATGGAGAAGGGAATTTTGCCTACAAAGTACACAGTCAATCCACTTTACAATATATTCTGTGAAGCTCTTTGAGACGTCTCTACGACGTGATAAAGCACTATATTAAATGTAATTATTATTATTAGGAGAAACATTTTGAATAATCAGCATCTGCCTTTACATCCAATAAGATAAGGTTTCTCCTTTGTGTTTTGCCGTGCAGAGAGCTGACCTGGCGGTCTCCGCCTTGACCATCACGCCGGAGAGAGAGAACGTGGTGGATTTCACCGGCCGCTTCATGGACTTCACCCTGGGTTTCCTGCTGAAAAAACCAGAGGACAAAGTGGACATGTTCACCTGCCTGGCGCCCTTCGACCTGTCCGTGTGGGCGTGTATCATCGGCACCTTGTTTATCGTGGGCCTCCTGATCTGTATGTTTACCTGGGCCACACCCTCCCCACTGCAGATCGGGTCCGTCACGTCCACTACCCTGTACAATGCCGTGTGGTTCGTGTACGGATCCTTCGTACAGCAAGGTACTGCGCACCGACACCGTCCGTCCACCTTTTAAGAATGGTTTACAGAACGCTTAATGGTTGTGGAGTCCACGCATCGCTTTCCAGATGTAATAATCCCTCCCCAAAACATGTGCGACACTGCTGTGCGCAATTGGCTGCCGCGTTTCGCCCACAAAATAACACAGTCAATTCACTTCACAGCATTTGATATAGCGCCTTATCACGTCTCAGTGACATGGTGAGGTGCTACATCAAATGCAAGGATTATTATTATTATTAAACTGCACCTGTTCAGCTGGACGTTGATGGTGCTATTAGAAAAGAGAAGGGAGTTTCTCTCTCGCGGTGTCCTGGCCGACAATCCTCCCGGATAAAATCGGGTTATTCAGATGATGGCTGTTTTGTAGGCCACTTACTACACGCAAATTGGCTGCCACGTTGACCCACAAAATATATAACCTTCGCACTTTATATAGAAGCTTTCAGGGAGATGTTCATGGCTGTAGAAGTGACACCAAATGCAAGGATTATTATTATCGCTGTTAGTATTGTAAGAACCGTACATTGCTTTGACAGTGCAAGTGGGGCACCAATTAAGATTCCTAATCTTGACAAAACACGTCAATCACCTGAAAGCTGTCACACTCGGCTCGACAGGCAAAGACTGAAACCGTGTTGTGATGTCTGGTGGGAATGTGTTTATTGTCCCTACACAGAGGTATTTGCTGCTAATTAATCCTTTTCCTGCAAATCTGACAGCGCAATTAAAAATGGCATGGCCCGACTTTCTCGCATGGAATTAAATAAAACGTGGCAGAATTATTCCATTTAGTTGAAAAGAAAGGTTATTTTACTGGAGATAAATTAGAATCTGTCCTTCTGCTTTGAACTGACAGGCTTTTTGGCATCATGTGATTGTCAAGGAGATGAATTAAATCCACAAATGCCATTTTCACCCATTCCCATTATTACCATTTATTTATTTACGAGACATCAATGCGATGCTTTTAATAACCAGTCAGTTAGCCGAAGGCCAGCCTCGCAGCAAAAGAGCTCCTGAGTTCCATTCGGAATTTTAAAAAATTATTCCAAAATTTTAGTTAAACCTGAATTTTGAGCATCACAATTAATAGTAATTATTAATAACAATAATAAGAAGAATCATTATATTTGGTACAGCGCCTCTCAAGCAGGAGGAATTCCCGAAGCCCTTCTCAGGATTTGCTGTAAAGTGAAGTGACTGCACGCTTTTGATTTTGATGTGGCGTAGGGGAAGATTAGTTCATGGGGACATCCCTTGCAAATTTCCACCAAATTACTGGGTTCAGATCTTGAATTTCTTACAAAGTGCAGGTTTTGCAGCTCAAAAATAATAGGGCTCCCAACTCCAAACACATACACACATCAATCGGTGTTGTGTCAGTAAATTCAAGCTGACAAACCAAGCCCTGAATTTACAGCCACAGGAATATCTCACTAGGTGGGGGGAGGATAATGGATAGTGTGTCAGGGAGCATGATAAACAGCTGGACTGGCTTGTGGTCTTTCCCCGAGACCAGAAAAGGCCAATCTCGCTCGGAATCGGAGACGAAAAGGAGCGTTGATGCAAAACCCTGCAGGGAAATTGCAGAGTCAAGTCTGCTCCGCGTCTGTCTCATTTCAAACATAGTATTTCCTTCATGACCTTGAGTTTGCTGACGAGGATTCGTGGTGCTGTATTTAACAAGAAACATTTGGTCTGTTCTTCTGTTTGGTTCGCTGCATCCACTTCACGTTGCCTGTTCACGTGAGCCGACATCTCACTCCACATCTTACCCTGGGACATGGAGCTCACAGTCTGCGATGATGCTCCAGTGCAAACGCTGCATTGTCAGAGACCCCAACCTTTCTCGGTGAGGCATCAAGACAACGGGAGAGAGAGAGAGAGAGAGAGGGACTCGCTTCTCTTTCCTGATAGCTCCGCGGGCTCTTTACCGTCCGCCTAAACACCGGGCAAAGCCGGGGATCTGGGTTTAGCGTCTCACCCGAAAGCTGGCACCTCCGAGAATGCGACGAACTCCCTAGAACTGCGCTGGAGCATCAGCCGAGACTGTGAGCCCGAGACCCCCAGGTTTAGCAGTGCACTCCCCCCTCCCCCAGCCCTGCACTGGAGGCTCAGCACTAGACTACTACAAGATTAAAGCCTCCGATGTAGAGCTCAAACCTACAACCATCTGACTCGGAGGCGAGAGTGAGTGCTATTGACTGAGCTAGGCTGACACCTGGCAAGTTGTTCTGTTTCACAATCCGTTGCTTACACCTTCCCTTGTCGAGCCTGGAATGGTGTGAAACAGATCGAGGATTATTGTGCCGAACAGAATACATGCTCCGCCAAGCTGCTTTCTGCTGCTGTACAGAACGTTCCAGCAAAAGACATCTGCAAGTCTAATGACGAATAATCGATTCACATTTTTTACCTTTTTTTTAAAGAAAAGCCAACCAGACCCATTGCCAGATTACGCCCCCATTCTCATTTTACTTATTTTTAATAACGGGTCAAAAGTAGGTCAGAATAATTTTGCACTTTAAAGCAATAAAGAAAGAGGCGGATAGTATAAACCTGTATTGAAAGCTCTCTGCTTAAACGTGAAACATTTAAATAGTCATTTGCGGCAAATCTGAACTTGGCCGAGGTCAGACCGAATGATTTTAACGCTTAATGTTTTGTATGTTGTTCAGACCGACTGATTGACTGTTATTTTTCTCGACCAGGAACGGGAGGAGAGATCCCAATTAACACGTTGGCAGTTCGCTTATTGATGGGCTTTTGGTGGCTCTTCGTCTTCATAATCATCTCGACCTACACAGCAAACCTGACCGCCATCCTAACCAGCAACCGCATCGACAATCCCATTCGGTAAAGATAAGGTGTCCTGGGATTGCAATGTAACGCGCATTCTCTCTTCTCTCCCTCACCCTCTTACCCCCCTCTTTCTCTTTCCCTTTCACTCTCCTCTTTCCACTCTCCCCCTCCCTAATTCTGGAGTGTATTAGGCACAGGTTGACAAGTGTCAAGCCTTGGGGGCCCCAGCGTGTGCTTTGGGCTAACACCACATAGCTTGTCATTAAGAGCACTGTATGTTTGGCAAGCTTTCCCGTTGCTTGTCCAGCTTGGACAACCTTACCCGTTAGCGCTTTGGCTTGACAGGGTTAACAGGAGCTGAACGGGAAGATTCCCTTCTCCAGTGACTGGTCCAGAGTGCCATTGAGGAAATGAATTACGGTGAATTCTTTTCGTGTCTTTCTGCAGATCTTTTCAGGACCTGGCTAAGCAAACAGACCTCCCCTTCGGCACGGTGCACAATTCGGAAGTGTTTCAGATAATCAAGATGAAGGGGCAGAACCCGTTTGAGGTTGAACAAACCTATGCTCACATGTGGAGCATGATAAACAGAACCGAGGGCTCAGAAAACCGGGTGAAGGAAGTGCACGAGGGAATCCAGAGGGTGAGCAATCGCTCGACTTCACAAAATAATAATCCTTCCATTTAATACAGCGCCTTTCACGTCGGGAGGACGCTTCAAAACGCTTCACAGGATAACGTGCAAAATGTAGTGACTGTGTGTTTTGTGGGCGAAACGCCACAGCTGATTTGCGCACGGCACTGTCCTGTAAACAGCCCGTGCAGTGAATCAGCGATTTTATTTGGTGGGGAGGGGGCGGTGCGAGTGTCAACTATTTTAATGGAAACGTGATTCTGTAACATCCAGTTTCTAGTACTCTAACCATATAACCAAACTCAGTAAAACTTGTGTCCACAAATTGGTGGTTCACTTTCCCATGAATAATAATCCCTACCAAAAAAAAATACAAGTAATAATAAAAAAATAATAATTTGGTCACTTAATCCACGACTGTTTGTTGGACACTGCTGTGTGCAATTGGCTGCCGCGTTTTGACCACAAAACATAGTCAATCCACTTTGCAGTATATTCTGTGAAGCGCTTTGAGAAGTCTAGAAGACTCGATAATGCGCTGTATAAAATGCAAGGATTATTATTATTATTTTCAAACTCCCAGTCAGTGCGGCTCGAGAAATAGTCAGAATTTCCCATTTTTGATTCTCTTTTGAGACTTGTGTTTTGAATCAGACTTGAGAGAGAAAGAGCGAGAGAGAGAGAGACAGAGAGAATAAATTAAAAACAAACAGCACTGAGCTTCTGGGTTCCAATCCATCCTGGACAGAGCAAAGTGCCTCACTGCTGCCTGTTAAAGACATTAAGTAAACTTGTGTTGAGTAATAGACCAGTTCCCAGTAGGTGCACATTCATTACACACACAAAAATACCCTGATAATTCAACCTGAGACAGGTTGCCTTGCTCAGCAACAACTGTACAGGCACATGAATGTGGAAATGTCTCATTTAGGATAACAGATAGAGTGGTCCTAGCTGGACAAGCAGCAGGAAAACTTGCCAGTCAACAATATCAATGGCAAACTATGCGGTTTTAGCTGGTTAGACTCCAGCAGTTACCCCAACGCACACTCTGGGTTCACCCCCAAGCTTTGGCTCTTGCCAACCTGCGCCTAATACTTCCCGGAATTAGGTAAGAAGGATGCATCCCTCTAGTCTTAAAAATTTGAATGGATCCTGCATCCACAGCCTTTTGGGGGGAGAGAGTTCCAAATTTCCAGATTTCCACTACCCTTTGTGTGGAAAAAATACTTCCTGATTTCACTCCTAAATGGCCTGGCTCTAATTTTAAGATGATGCCCTCCTTGTTCTGGATTCCCCCACCCCACCAGAGGAAATAGTTTCGCTGTATCTACCCTATTGAATCTCTTCATCATTTTAAACAACTCAATCAGATCAACCTTCTACCCTTAAGGGAATAGACACCCAAGTTTATGCAATCTGTTTCTGTCAGCGTTATATCACTAGATTCAATTGTGGTTATTAGACACTAGAGGTGTTTCCTTTGCTCTGTTCAGCAATGAAGCCACAAATATTATTATTATTAAACTGTGAGACATATCAACAGAGAATGTAATGGAATGGGTTTTGCTTTAATAATGGGATCTGGTGAGTGGGAGGCTGGAGAGTGAGTATTTAATCACAAGCCTTGAATATTGTTAATTATTGCCGCAAAACGGTTTATCTCTGGCTATTTAGTGGCCTGGATGTCCTCCTGACGTGAAAAGCGCTATACAAATGTAATTTGTTGTTGTCCTGCAGTAGAGGCTTATATGTTAGCACATTAGTTGTATAATCAAGAGGAATGAGGAGTGAGTTTCCCTGCTAATGTGTGAGCATTGTAGAAGATAGGCAAGAGAATAAGGCAACGGCCAACATAGCTGGAGGCAGCCACACTTGTTTTCCATTGTTGTGGGCTCATTCCTGCTATTGATTTTCCCTTCTCCCTCCCCATAAACGTACTGCATCAAATTATTGTCTATTGAATCAAATTATTTATCTCTGGCGTTAAATGAAATGCATTTAAAACCGACGGATGCAAGATAAAATCGATCCCGAATAGAGGGCAAGAATTCACAACTGTTTTGTGGGAAACTGCTGTGTTTCGCCCACAGAATACAGTCAATTCACTTTACAGTATATTCTGTGAAGCGTTTTCAGACGTCTAAACAATGTGATAAGGTGCTAAAGGATTATTATTAAATTATTATTATTATATATTTTGCTGCAGGCATTTCTTAAGAGGCACATGGTACCCAAAGAGTTAAGTTCATAAAGCCGCAGAGTTTTAAAAAAAGCCCGAGTGAAGGAATGGGTTGGAAGGAATAGTTCAGCTTGCGGCAGGAGAGATCACAATAATGATATATTCACATGTTTTCAACCTGAGGTGACGAAAGAGACACCAGAGTTCATAGGTGTGATAATTGAAGGAGACAAAGGAGGGGGAGAGGTGGAAGGGCTCTGGGATGGAATTCCAGAAGGTGGGGGCAGAAAGGCTAAAGGCCTGGCGTCCGATGGTGGGGCGGGCAGGGCAGGGTGCATGGACAACCAGTGTCCGCCAAGTACCTTTGCCTGAGATAAACCATAAGAAGCCACGATACCATGGGAGGAAATTAACAATAAACGGAGTGGGGTGGGGGGGAATGCGTTGACTTCAATGGCGTGGATTTTGAGTGACGACTTCACATGCTTTTGCATTTCAAGGCAAAGGTCGGGAATTATGCCTTTGTGTGGGACGTGGCAGTGCTGGAGTACGTGGCGGAGAACGAGCCCGATTGCGCCTTCGTCACGGCAAGGAACTCCAAAGTGGATCGTGGCTACGGCATTGCTCTGCAGGACGGCAGCCCATACAGGGACATCTTCTCACACAGGTGAGAAGAGAAAGCTCACCATTTTGAACTGGTTGGTGTTGCAAACACCCTGGATGTCTCAGCGATTACTGCAAAACATCCTTGCTGCTGCAGTGCTTTTTCTTGTGCATCCAACTCTAGTTGTTTTTCGGTTTTGGACAACCACTGTTGTCCTGGTTTGAAGTGCGCTTACAAACAAACCAAGGTGAATTGATAATTCAGTAAGTAGGATCCCGGTTGTTAGTCGATTGGTGGATCGCTTTCCGGGGGTAATAATCCCTTCAAAAAAAAAGAGAGGACTTTAGTCACTCAATCCACGACTGTTTGTGGGACACTGCTGTGGGCAGTTGGCTGCCCAGTTTCACCCACAAAATACAGTCAATTCACTTTACAGTATATTCTGTGAAGCGCTTTGAGATGTCTCAACAAGGTGACACGGTGCTGTATCAAACGCGAGGATAATTATTATTTCACGGACATCTCTCCTTGATGGGACGTGTGGCTTTCTGTAGGCTAACTGTGAACTCAGCGCACAGCTTGTCACTGGGAGCAAATGAATAATTTAATGACATTTTAGCACAAGCTTCCAAAGGTAGTGACAGCAGAGACTGAGATTTCCATAGTTACACACTTCTTTGTTCCCAAGATACCTTTGACAATTTTTTCACCGCTGGACGGAATGATACCTTCCAACCTCACAGTCCCCCTGATGATGTGGCCAGCAATGGTGGTTTAAATCTATATTGTGTTTAACACACACACACATGCACACACACACAGTGTACACTGAAGGCGGTCACAATTCTTAATATTTAGTATAAATGCATAGTTTAAATAAAACTTAAGCGCTCTGGAATGCTACGCTGAGCGAAAGGCGCTGCTTAAATGCAAGTTGTTGTTGTATAAATACATAGTCACTCCACTTTGCAATATGTGAAGCGCATTGAGATGTCTCAACGACTTGACAAGGCGCTACATCGAGCGCAACGATTACTTTTATTATTTACTTATTTACAAGCAAATACCAGAAACAAGATTAAAATGCGACTTAGTTACAGGAACAATACAACGCTCTGGTGGCAACTGTTATTTTAATCACAGCATTTTCTAAATAAAGTGCAAGCAAACAACTTGCATCGAGCTCCCTTCACTATCCACAAACCTCACATCGGGGACTTTGACATTGTAGTAGGGTGCGAAGTGGGTGGGTGGGGGTGGGGGGGCGGGAAGTGCCAGGACGGGACGTTAAACCGATGGAGAGCTCAGTTTAACGTTTCACCGCACATGACAATAAATAAACAAATAATCCTAGCGTTTGATATAGAACCGGATCACGTCTTCGAGACGTCTCAAAGCGCTTCACAGAACACACCTTTTTGGACTCTTAGCTCCAATAAGCAAGGCACATTTTCGTTCTTTGGCTGTTTGTTGTGAAAATTCACGGCTGGATTATCCCCCCCTCCCCCCCCAGTTAATTTAATCACTTAATTCTCGGCCATAAATCATCATCGCTCACCATCGCCCTGTACATACAAACACGCGATTCAGCAAATGTTTCCCCCTCGATCTGTCCTCTGGCGCTTGTTGTTCAGCCTTCTTTGTAGAAGGCAAATGAAGTATAAAATGGGCACATTCGTGTCTGTCTGTTCATTGCCTCTAGGCACTGAGCTATTCTCTTTGAATCTTGTTGTGTTCGGTATCAGGGTTCGCTTCAGTGTCCTTTTGTCGCAGTACAATAATCATTTTGTTGGGTTTAATTCATCTGACTTTGTGCCGAGCAAAACCTGTATTCGCATCAGATTCGAGTGAATCCCCCTGTACAGATTGACTCTAGCTGCGTGGAGAGGGGAGCGAGGCAAATAATAATAATAATAATAATCCTTGCATTTGTTACTGCATTTATCACATTGTCTTAAAGCTCTTCACATAATAATAATAATAACCCTTGCATTTGATATAGCGCCTTAATCACATCTTCGAGATGTCTCAAAGCGCTTCGCAGAATGTACTGTCAAGTGAATTTGCTGTATATGTTGTGGGCGAAATGCCAGTATATTGTAAAGTGGATTTACTGCATTAACTAAAATAACTGGAGATAAAAATCACAGGAAGAACCGTCCGACTGTTATGGAAACGAACGATAAAACAATTTTTAAAATTTGAATAACACGGTCACTGTATTTGTGGACGAACATTAAACTGAGCGAGTCTGCACTTGTGACAATGTGCAGTATATCCACAGCCATTAGTAGCTGGAATAAAGCCAGCTTAGCGCTCGGAATCTCGTTATTCCTGGGAGGATCCAAAGCGTCGCTCCGAGATTGCATTAATTGTTACGTGACAGAAATGTTGCTGTTCGGAAATCAGTGCAGTCTGCCCTCTACAGGCCAGAGACGGCATTCCTTGTTTATATTTCATCATTGCAGCGCTCTATTAATAATAATAATAATAATAATAATTATCCTTGCATTTGATATAGAGCTTTTCACGTCGGGAGGACGTCCCAAAGCGCTTCACAGAACGCACTGTAAAGTGAATTGACTGTATATTTGTGGGCGAACGCGGCAGCCAATTGCGCACAGCAATGTCCCACAAACAGTCGTAGATTGAAAATGACCAATTTATTATTGTTTTTATTTGGTTTGTACAAATATTGTGTACAATGTTTGCAGGACGCTACTGTGCACAATTGGCTGTCACCCTTCGCCCACAAAATACAGTCAATTCACTTCACAGTATATCGTGTGAAGCGCTTTGAGCCGTTTCAACGACGTGATCAGGCGCTACACCAAATGCAAGGATTATTATTATTATTATTAATGTATCTCTGTGACTCTCGGTTACTCTTTTCTTCTGCAGCTCTCTGTAACTCCATTACCGTGAAGCTTACGATGAAAGTGAGGTTAGGCAAGTTTCCTTGCTCCACACGCCTCTGTTTACCGAGCAGTCAGAGAAAAAAATCCCTTAAAAAAATAATAATAACAATTTGCTCACTCAATCCACCACTGTTTGTGGGACACTGCTGTGCGCAATTGGCTGCCAATTCGCATTTGGCCCACAAAATATCCAGTCAATCCACTTTACTGTGTATTCTGTGAAGCGATTTGTTATTATTATCATTATTATTATTATTGTTACGATAAAGTGCTGCAAATTCCCTGTTTGCTTCTGGCACAGGCTTTTGGAGTTGGAGCAGAGTGGGGAGCTGGACGCCCTGAAGAGGAAGTGGTGGCCAGAGGCGGGGATGTGTGACTTACAGACTCATGGCAAGGGACACGGCAAAGGCGGGGCTATGGCGCTGCACAACTTTGCGGGGGCATTTGGCTTCCTGGCCTTGGGCGTGATTCTGGCTTTAACTGCAGCCATGTTGGAAATCTGGTGGAAGAACAAAAAGAAAACAAGTTCTCTCACAGAGGTAACAGCTCGTAAAATCGCGGATCTTTCCATCACTCTCTCTAACCCTCTGTCACTCTCTCTAACCCTCTAACGCTCCATCACTCTCTCTAACCCTATGTTACTCTCTCTCTCTCTCTAACCCTCTGTTACTTTCTCTAACCCTCACTTACTCTCTCTAAACCTCTGTTACTCTCTCTAACGTCTGTCACTCTCTCTAAAGACACCTGGAGAAACTCTCTTCTCTTTCGCAATCGCGCCACGGGATCTTTGACATCCATCTGAACTGGCGCAGACGGGAACTCAGTTTAACATCGCATCTGAAAGGCAGGGCCACTAACAATGGAGGGAACACCCCCCCTCACCCCCCCAAACCCTGCACTGGAGCATCAGCTAACGCTGTGAGCTCAAAGTCCCTGATGTGGGGGGGGGTGGGGTTTGAACCAACAGCCTTCTGACTCGGAGGCGAGAGCTCCACCGACTGAGCCAGGCTGACACCTAAACATGAACTATAAACTAGAGAACACTCACTAAGTAATTGAAAGGCACTGAGGAACAGCACTGTGATATAAACACAAATCTAAAAGGAAGTTATTTGTGGGATTATGGAGGAATGTTAGGCAAATGGGGCTGAATGGATTGCTCTTTCAAGGAGCCACTGCAGATATGAAGGGCTGAACGGTCCTGTGTGTGCAGTAAATGTTGATGTTTATCCATGCGTCTGTTGGTTTTATTTGCACTCAGAAATGATTCCCCTTAATATTGGTGTCATCCTTGGGAAATCTCAGGTCTTGGACTTCACTGAAGCTGATCCCATGAGGCAGCTTAATCACAATCGCAGTGCTCATTGCAATATGACTTAAAGCACTGTCGCTGTAATGACAGTATCAATTCCCCGTCGTTCACCTCCCCCCGACATGCACCACACACTGCGGCTGAGCACCGCAATGCCTCCTAACCGTTTTGCCAGTGACAGAATCTTGTCCAAATCCAAACAGCTGAGCGAGTGAGCAAGGGAGTGAGTGAAGGAGGGAGAGAGCGAGCGAGGGAGGGAGGGAGGGAGGGAGTCGAGTGAGGGAGCAGGGGAAGGAGCGAGCGAACGAGGGAAGGAGGGAGGGAGGGAATAATTGCTATGTTGGGATAACTGCTGGAGTCTAACCAGCTAAAACCGCATAGCTCATTGAGAGCGCGGTGTGGCAAGCTTTCCTGCTGCTTGTCGGGTTAGGACCAAAACCCATCAGGGCCTTGGCTTGCAAGGTTAACAGGAGCTGAGTGGGAGGATTTGATTTGATTTGAAAGTGGCTCCCGAACAGTTTGCAATGTATTTGCAACGCAATTCATTCCAGGGCATTAAATGCTTCGCTAATCGAGCTTTTTATTGTTTGTTTGTTTGTTGTTTGTTTGTTTTGTTTTAAAAATCCTTTTACCCCCCCCCCCCATAAACTCCAGGAGGACAAAGAGGTGGAGATGGAACAGTTTGAGAAGCAGGTGGACGACCTGTGTAAGACTGAGGACAATCCGCTGAAGTTCTCCCCGTCCTTTGTGGACCTGAACTCTTTCGAGCTGTCCATGGTGCCGGCTGGGGAGACGCTGGAGACCTTCAGTGACTTCAGGAACACTATGACCATGTCAACCTTCATCCCCGAACAGATGAGGAGGACAAGCGCGTGTAGCTTATCAGCTAAGACTCTCTCGGGATTGCCGATGGGCGGCACGCCCGTCTCACAGACCCCGCAGTGCGGGTGCACGTCCCGTGATGACGAGGACCGCTCCAGCCCCTCGACCTTCCTCTGAGCCCGGCTCACACTCGCTCGCAGCCCCGCGGGATGGGACTTTACGAACGCTGTAAGTTCACTTCCCTTCGGATGGATCGCTTTGCCCCAGGGCAGCTACACGTCTACAAGGCCCATCCCGGCCGAAAACCTGCGCCGATCACTTCTCCACACGGGAGAGAGAGAGAGAGCGAGAGCGTCTCATCTCGTCTCATCTCTTAAAGCCCCAATGACCGCAGCCGCCTTCTTGTTGCGAGTTCCTCACATGTTGGCAAAATTGCTCAAACCGAGCTCTAACCTTGCCCCGTCTCGTTTGCAGCTAAGCTTGTGACACATGTCAATCTGTGTGTTTGATGTCTCAATTTGTTTCTGTTCAGCTCTATCAGCTCATTATTTTTAAGTCCTCCATCGCCGCCCAACCACCACCCCTCCCCTACCCAAACACAATCCCAAGCCGAGATGGGCTTCATCTCAGCAACTACACCTCTGACCACCAACGGTGCAGGTTAATCTCGTCCCAGCAAAATACGCAGGGAGTTTGAAAGGGTGGTGGAAACAGATTTGATAGTAGCTCTCAAAAGGGAATTGGATGGGTACTCCAACAGGAAACATCGGGGTAAGAGCAGGAGAGCGGGACTGGTCGGAATAGCTCCTTCAACGAGCTAACACAGGCACGATGGGCCGAATGACCTCCTTCTGTGCTGTAAGATTCTATGTTTCTTTGAAAAGCAAGTGTCCGTGTGAAACTTTACCTTCAGATAACGTACAAACCGCGATATTAAACCGTGCGAGTGAACGAGCGAAGGAACGAATGCAGAAGAAAATGATTGGGAGCGAAAAGGAAAGCAACCAAAGGATGTCTGGATTGAAGCAGACAGTTGGGAGTTTTGGTAAGGAAGCTTTGGTGACATTTAGAAGGAAGCGGTTAGACATCACGTCCGAGACTATCAGAGGGCCAGAGCTGATCAAGTGGTAATCTGCTGGATTGCTAATTGCCGGATCAATTGAAATGTTCAAGACTGAGGCGGATAGATTTTTGTTAGGTCAGGGTATCAAGGGATATGGAGCAAAGGCGGGTAATTGGAGTTGAGGTGCAGATCAGCCATGATCTAATACAATGGTGGAACAAGCTCGAGGGACTGAATGGCCTATTCCTGTTCCTATGTCTCTCATCTGTTTATGGGGTTGTGATGGTATTTAAAGTTCATTCACTTGCTCTGATGTGTAAGAGGTTCAGATGCACAGCATTTAGGCCTCACATGTGTCTCATTAAAATCCTTCAAACAGGGAAATGTATACAGTCTAGGTGGAATTCTTTGAGAACATTTCAGAGGCGGGAAATATGAAACAAAATGCTGTTTTGAAACCCGAATTTAGAGAGCGAATCGAAGGAAGTGAGGTAAAGCTATTCAAGAGTTTTCTGAAGCAAGAAAATTCTTATTTATCCTCTCTTGCCGGGAACCACTTTTGTTTTAATTTTAGCCTGAATAAAATGGAGAGAAAGTCGGAGCTGTTTTCTACGAAGCACAACTTATAAGGGGTGATTTATTTCCTTGTTGAATTTCTGTTCCCTGTATCAAAAGTTTCAGGGAAGTTAAGGTAAAAGGTAATGCTACTTTTATAGATGTTACTGTCTTGACTTCACAGAGCGAATGGAGGCTTAGTGCTGGGTATCTGATGATTTGACTGTGGAATGTAAGGTACAGTAAGGCAATGGTGCAAAAATCTTACAGTTTGCTCAGAAAGTCTTATTATGTTTACTTTAAAAGCACGCATTTTTCCAATATTATAATAATAATCCTTGAATTTGGTATAGCGCCTTATCAAGCCCTCAAAACGTCTCAAAAGGCTTCATCGAATATACTGTAAAGCAGTTGACTTTATATCTTGTGGGTGAAACATCACCATTTAACAGAACACAGTTAGGCGGTTTGTACAGCACAGTATAACAGCACCAGGTGTAAGTCTGAACTGTAAATGACTTATTTTTTTGCAACGTTATTCCTTCAGTGAATGGTTAACCTCCCTATTTTTATGATTACATGACCAACTGCAGAGTAGGTAAACCAATATTTACTCAAGTTTGATAAAGCCTTGTTTTTTTTAATGTTCATCAACCTCTACATGATTATCTACATTGTAGGAATTTTGGAGTCCTGTAGTGTATCGGCAAAAGCATTTGTCTCACAATCAAGAGGAAACCGGGTTCGATTCCTGGTTGGGGAGACGCATTAGGCAAGTTTCCTTACTCCTAACTCTGTTTACCTAACAGTAAGTCGTTACCCGGTTGTTAGTCGATTTGGTGGATCGCTTTTCCGGGGGCAATAACCCCTTTCAAAAAAAAATTAATTTAAAAAAGGATAATAATTTGGTCACTCGATCCACAGCTGCTTGTGGGACGCTGCTGTGGGCAATTGGCTGCCGCGTTTCGCCCACAAACTATACAGTCAATTTACTTTCCAGTATATCCTGTGAAGCTCTTTGTGACGTCACGAAGACGCGATAAGACCCTATATCAAATGCGAGGATCATTACTTGTATCATTAATTTGAGGTCTTTAATTTTCCCATTACAAACTGACACAAAAAAAATAAGTTTGGTCGCCAGGTAAAGTTACATGTTTAGTGGAATACTAAGTTTCGTCCTAAGGATTTATAGTTTGAAAGAAAGATTACACGTTTCACCAACTGAAAAGGGGGACAATTGTGCACAGTGCAGGACAGGCGCTGTCTAACAGAGTGTTAGACGCTCTCGTTCGTTCTGCATTGTGCAAAAATCTTCGAGATTAATTAATTGTAGTCTGAGTGAGAATGTTTTAATATAAATGAATTATTTATGAATTAAATTCTGTCTCTCGTGTTTTTTTTCTTCTTCTACTTCTTCTTCTTCTGTTTCTTTTTAAAACAACCCAAGTTTGCAACTGATGGATACCGAAAATTGGGACTTTAATGAAAAGGCGAACGGTTTAAATTAAATTGCTGTGTGTTTCTTTCTCTCTCTCTCTCTCTCTCTCTCTCTCTCACTTTCTCTCTCTCTCTATACCAGAATTTATTCCTTTTAACATTCGCTCTTTTTAACCAGTGCAATTCGGGTTTGTAAACTGAAATCTCTGTACTTTTCAAGAGAGAGAGTTTTTTTTTGGAAGACTTATTTTTTTTAACTGTAAGAGCCAGGAGTGGAATCAATGATTAATCCGGAATTATTGGAAGTGGCCAATGAGGAGGGGATTGGGTTGGGATGGGATGCCACGTGTGTCCCATCCACCAGCCTCTCCCATTGGCAATTGGCACGTGTCAACCCCACTTACAGTGTTTATCCCTCCCCCTTCTCACATACACACCCTCCCTATCACACACACTCCGTGCAATTAACTCTTAAGACCAACATTTTATGTTGATTGCCACTTATCCCCAGAGCAAGTTATCCCGAACTTGTGTCTGTTTCCCTCACACCATGTCCAACACTGCAGAGGTCGCCCTGGTGGGATCTCGGAAGCCGAGGCTCTGGCTGGGGCTGGGGCTGAGCCTTGGGGAGCGCTGTGAGCATGGGAGCCGGGGGGGAGTAGCGGGGGATGGAGCAGGGACAGGGGCATTACCTGCCCCCGGGAGGCGGAGGCTGGCAGCGAATGCCCGGGAGCGCAGGAGGATGCACGGTTTGAACCGTGCCTTCGACGAGCTGCGGAAGGTGATCCCGGCGCTGGAGGACAAGAAACTGTCCAAGTACGAGACGCTGCAGATGGCTCAGATGTACATCGCGGAGCTGAACCACCTCCTACACAGCGCTGCCCAGCAACAGGGTGGAGAGGAAGAGACAGAAACTTCCGGACCACCCTCCCCACCGCCCGGACACTTACCTGAAACCCTCTCGCCTCCACGACTGGATACAGCACACAAGGAATTTGAGACATGACATATAGTAAGTGGAGTGCGGCTTGGAAGAACCAGGCAACTTTGGATCTCAGGTTTCCAAGGCTTCCCACTGTGCTGGAGACTAATCCGGACAGAATGAGTTTGCTATCAACATCTCTGTTATTGTGGCAACTGATGACCAGGATGGTAGAAGGCGAACGAGGTGGACCTCGGTCTTTTCTTGTCTAGCAATTCCTATGTTCCTTTGACGGTTGGAAAATAACCCGAGTTTTGTGAACTCTCTCTCCTTCTCTTTGCTTATGGACTTTCTTTCTATATGTAGAATTTTCTGAGTTTTTTTCCAAACCCAGGTTTTTTTTTGCATATATCATTTATTTTCGTAATTTTCCCCCCAAAAAAGGCTGGTTTAACCCGACTCGGGAGGGAAATGGTTGAATGAATGAACAGGGTGGGCTGGTGTATGTATGTTATGTGTAGTTTGTTAATGTCTGTCACTCTGTGGATTATTGTCTCTCAAACTTTTATTAAGATGTATATGCAATGGATTTAGGTAGTTTCCGGTTCATTCTCCCACCACCACCCCCATAGTAAAATATCTATGATTTAGATCGAGGAAGAACTGGGCACTATCTACTTTTTCTGTTATCCTTTCTGTAATATGATTGGAATGTAATAATTATAATAATAATCCTTGCATTTTTGATATAGGGCTTTATCATGTCACTTTCAGCCACTATGCCTTTGAAACTCTGGGACACTCTCCCTCAAATCCCATCTGAAAACCTTCCTCTTCGACAATGCTTACGGCCACCTCCCCCCTCCTTGCCCCCTGGCTCAGGATCAGGCATTGTTAAGCGCTCTGAGACGCTACCCTGCGTGGAGGGCACTATGTAAGTGAAGTTGTTGTTGTTGAGGTTGAGACGTCTCAAAGCGCTTCAACAACAACAACAAAATTACATTTGTAAAGCGCCTTTCACGTCGGGAGGACGTCCCAAGGCACTAGACAGACAGAGTTACAGACCCGAGCTGGGGGTCGGGGTCAGGGAGACTGGAGGGCAGGGGGGAAGCAGGGAGATCGAAAGCACAGTCGAAGAGGAGGGTCTTGAGGTGGGTCTTGAAGGTGGCGAGGTAGGGGGCGAGACGGAGGGACTGCGGGATAGAGTTCCAGAGGGTGGAGGCAGAATGGTGGAAGGCCCGCCCGCCAATAGTGGGGCGAGCGAGGCACGGGACGTGAAGCAGGCCGGAGCCCGCTGAGCGGAGAGAGCAAACAGGTTGGTAGGGGCTTAGGAAGTCGAAAGGTAGAGGGGAGCACGACCATGGAGGGCTTTGAAGGTGAGGACACGGATCACTGTGAAGTGATATTTTGTGGGCGAATTGTAATGTAATGTAATAATTGTAAATATAATAATACTTGCTTTGATACAGCATCTTTCATGCCGGGAGGTCGTGTCAAAGTGCTTCACGTGATTTCACCATCAAGTGTAGTGACTGTGGATTTTGTCGGCGAATGCGGCAGCCACTGCAATGGCCGTGAAGCGACTGAGCAATTATTTATATCTGGGGGATTGTTGGCCAGGAGAGAGAGGAGAGAGAGAGAGAGAGAAACTCCCTTCTATTTGCGAATGGAATCTTTACCATCCACCTGGACAGGCGTAGAAGGAACCTTGGGTTTAACGTCTCACCCGAAGGACAGCATCTTGTGGCAGTGCAGCAGCGCTCCCAGCACTGCAATGGAACGACAAGCCTGGACTCTTGAGTTTGCAAACTATAAACACAAGCGAATGTGCTTTGCACATTATGGGGAAGGAATTGAAAGTGCCTGTTTTATTTTAAGCTTTCTGTCTTATGTAAATTACTAATTTGTTTTTTTTTTAAATATGTTCTGTGTAATAAGGTTTGTTTTGCTTTCCTTATTTCAATTGACTGCTTTTTGCCTCCAAAGTTATGGCAAACTGAACTGTTAAGATATAAACACCACGGAGCAAACAGCCTCAATGTGCTTTCGGAAGCATTTCTGAAGTTTAACAACAAGTTTTAATGGGGGGAGTGCAGTGTCATGACTCCCTTTGCCATCAATGAATAAATTCAATCGTCAATGAATCTTGTCAACGTTTTATTTATTTTCAGGGCAAAAAAATCAGTGATCCAATTAATTCCTATCAATGTACTTATATCAAAGTGATTTATTGATTCGAAGGCGGTTTGAAAACCTTTTTGGGCTTGAGGGGCTACAAGGGAGAGGAGCAGTACAGTTTAAATAAATCTAATATTATCATATACCCAATAATTTAAGACTAAGTAAATGTATTAAAGTCATAAAACAGCAGGTGTGGAGCTGATAATGTAACAGCACCTGTCACTTTGAGGTGAACTTTGATCTACACTGTCCCATCGTGGCATTAATCAAGGATGTACATATCACATTTGCATGGGCACAGTTTAGTCGAAAGTTTCATACTATTTTATTGGGATGGAGGAGGGGAGGGAGTTTCTGTAAATTCACCATATCAAGGATGCTTTAATAATGATGATAATAATAATAATCCTTGCATATAACATCTTATCACGTCATTGCTTTACTGAATATACTATAAAGTGAATTGACTGTGTACTTAGTGAGCGAACCGTGGCAGCCAATTGCGCACAGCAGTGTCCCACAAACCGTCGTGGATTAAGTGACCAAATTATTATTATTATTTATTTTTTGAAGGGATTATGACCCCCGGAAAGCATTCCGCCAATCGATAACAACTGGGTTCCTGCTTACTGCGAGGTAAACAGAGGCATGTGGAGTAAGAAAACTTGACTAAGGTTTTGGTCTGTCTGGGAATCGAACCCAGAGCCTCTTGTTTGTGAGGTGAGCGCTCTAACCAGTACAATACAAGACTCCACGACTTGAATTTCCTGTGCATTTAAACGATGCATTCAACATATACACCCGACCTCCAGGTACAGGAAGCTCACTCCGCCCTTAGAGTGAAAACAGGATTCTGCGATTCATTCCAGGATGCAATTCAGACATTATCTAGATCAGTTTTTTTTTATTTTAAAACGAAGCAGAGGATTGTTAGGGACAATGGAACACTTTACCTAGACTCATGATTGAGGCAGGATCACGTTTAGCCCGCAAAATATACAGTCAATTCACTTTCCAGTATATTCTTATTACTATTATTATTATTATTCTGTAAAGCGCTTTGAGACGCCTCAATGAGGTAATAGGCACTATATCAAATGCAAGGATTATTATTAATTATTACATGATTTGTATTAGCTTTTAAGAGAGAATGAGATAAATGTCAGGAGAGGAGAAATATAGACGTGTGCGTGTGTTTCTTTCAGTTCTATTATCACTAACATATAATTTGGCTTTCCTGTTACTGCAATTATTTTCTTTAGGACAGGATAGATTTCTAAGTGCGAAATGCAGACAGATACAAAGGGCATTTTAATGTATCTTAATTCAGACAGCAGCCAGTTGGATTTTGTAGCCAGCTGGTTTGATTCATTTATATTTCTTCAACCTCCAAAGGCAGCTCAGCAAAGTGCTCTGGTATGTTATTACCCCATGTGGTAGGAGCACTATATACGGCGTGACCAAAAAGTCGTGATGTCTGCCCTATTATCTGAAAACGAAACAAATTATCATCGTTTCTTTAAGACTTATTAGACATTGTAATGGTATGACTTTTAGGTCACCCTGAAATGCACGTCGTTGTTGTTGTTGTTGTTGTTGTGTGCAAGTTGCTAAACCAGTCACAGGAGGATTCCAAACGTTGACATTCCTAACGGAGAGCAGCAATATAGAGAAACATCCAAGGCTGTGGGCGTCAAGTGGTTTTGTGCTTCATTGCGTGAGCAATCACATTGTGCACAGTTTCTGTGGCCGCTCACTGCTGAGCGAGATCGAGAATGCTCTGATAGAAATTTCATGGCGTAAGTATTTTCAGAGCAGCTCATCCCTGCCTGATCTCTCGAATGCAACAACACCTTGCTTTTATACAGCGCCCCCTCAACCAGGTTAGAATCCCAGAGCATTTGACAGTGGTGGAGCACGAGGTGAAGCCTGGGTGGGGGGGGAGGAGGAGTTGACCAGAGGCATGTTCAACTCGACGAGGAAGGTCTTCAGGCACAACGTGAAGATGGGGCAGGAGGCGACAGGGCGGAGGGATTGAGGGAGAGTGTTCCAGAATTTCGGGCCGTGTAGTGGCCGAAAGCACAGCCATCGATGGTGGAACGGAGGTCACGAGGGACAAGCAGGAGGTTGGAGCCAGTCGAGCGGAGGCAACAGGTAGTGGGTTGGGGAGTAAGCAGGTCGGAGAGGTAGGGAGGTGTCAGGGGTTGAAGGGATTTGCACTATACAAATCCTGAAATCTACTTTGCTGGGAAGAACATGCATTATTTGCAAATATATTTTCTTAATAAAGCTGTATTCTGTAAGCCTAACATACTTTTGTAAAGATCTCTCTCTCGCGCGCATCTACTACATGCCCACGTTTAAGAGTCTTCCTTCCCAAATTGCTGGTCGTGACATTATTGAGTGACCAATATATCTCCCAAGTCTTCTTTCTGCTGCTGTCAACTGAGTGTCTGTAATGTTGATCCCCTTGGGGGCCAGAGATTGATTCAGGTGGGATATCTGCCAACCCCACTTATGCTCCAAAGCCAATTAATCCACGTTCCTCTCCACCTGACGCCCCAACGTGAGATAACGTGCTTGCAATCGGTCGCAAAGTAAATATTATCAAGCCTCAGTTATTTGTACGGGGTTTGTGTGAGGATTATACTGGAAGCATTGTGTGCAGTGAGTGTCTCTGGGAGACTGGATACAAATGATATCTCACACTGCTTGCATTGGATTGTTTATTTTCTTGTAGTAATTTATCCCTGTTTGCGTTACTTCCAAAACAACAGAGCAGATTGCATTTAATAATAATAATAATAATAATAATCCTTGCATTTGATATAGCGCTTTTCACGTCGGGAGGACGTCCCAAAGCGCTTCACAGAACACACTGTAAAGTGAATTGACTGTATGTTTGTGGGCGAACGCGGCAGCCAATTGCGCACAGCAATGTCCCACAAACAGTCGTGGATTGAAAATGACCAATTTATTATTGTTTTGGTTTTTTGGAGGGATTATTATTAGGGCTGTGTGTGGAGTAAGGAAACTTGCCCAAGGTTTCGCCCTCTGCCTGGAATTGAACTCAGGTCTCTCGCTTGCAAAGCGAGTGCTCTAACCACTGAGCTACAGGACTCCACAACTCCACATTTAGAGAGCGCCTTTCATGTAGGGAGGACATCCCAAGTCACTGGACGGTTAAGGGTTTGCACGTGAGCTGGGGGTTGGAATCAGGAGGGGTGGAGGGTAAAGTGTGGCTGAAGACATGGGTCAAAGAAGAAGGTCTTGGGACGGGCCTTGAAGGAGGTGAGGGAGGGGCTGAAGCAGATGGAATTCCAGAGGGTGGGGACAGAAAAGCTGAAGGCTCCTCTGCCAATGATGGGGTGGGGCAGGGAGTGGCAGACCAGTGCCCCTCACAGCGTTATTTCCATCTTTGGCTAACAATTTAGCGCTCCTGTGTGAAGGGCGCTGTATAAATGGAAGTTGTTGCTGTTGAGCATTAAGGGTTTTATAAATCCCTCGTTTCTAAACCTCGGCAGAGTTTGAATTTGGAAGCTTTTTTCGAAGCTATTTACAGTGTAATC